GTTCAGGCTGATTTGTGCAATGTGACCTCGCTTTGATAAGAGACTACAAGTCTGATTTTTAGTTTTGAATTATCAAAAAATTGAGTGTTAGAGTATATGAAAAAGCACTTGACTATCAATTCAATTTTTCTGTAAATATGTATTAAATATAAATATAAATATTTTAAAAAATAGCCTTTCTGTTTCACTAGTCTGAGCACTTAGGTTGAATACTCTCTTAAGATACCTATCTATTGAATGGTGACACTCTTGAGTAAAGCTATTGACCTCAAAAGACAAAAAGAAAAGTGAACTTTTAGCTGTGGTGGGAAGGGAGAATAATGATTTGGAGTTAATGAGGGAGAAAACAGTGTCCAGTGGAGTACTGTTCACCCAGTGGGTACTCAGCAAATGATTGTTGAAAATGGTGAAAATATGGAAACAAAATGTTGACCCACAAGGAAGTGGACATAATCTCATATAAATGTTAATTGTACCCATTTATTGTTCAGTGGCATAGTCTTCAGAAGAAAAAGGTAGATATTTATGGGCCCTGAAACTATACAAAACCTAAGTAGAAATTATTTTCTAAGACATACGTTAAGATTGGAAAAAAAGATAGTTGTTTAGCCATAATGTATGAGGCACAAAAAGTAAAGCTCTCAGTTCCCAAATTAAAAATACATAATTTTTTGGCCCTCCCTGGTGGCACAACACTGCCAAGCCAGCCACATCAACATTCACTTCAGTACAAGTTCAGTCCATGGCCAGGGAGGTGACTCACATGGCTCAGCAGACCTCTTCTGTCTCACCCACTGCTCCCTTCAGCACTGTACTTCATTGATCTACTTGTTCTTCTCCCCACTCTGTCTTTGTTGAATCTTGTCACAGCCTCTGCACCTCTGGCCTGTACCCCAGTTCTGTATGAATAAATCTTTTTTTTTGTTTTTTAAAGATTTATTTGTGCATACAGAACTGGGGTACAGGTCAGAGGCTCAGGGACGGTGAGAGGATTCACCAGAGACAGAGTGGGGAGCAGAACAGGCAGATGACGAAGTATAATGTTGAGGGGAGCAGCGGGCGGGTCAGGAGAGGTCTGCCACGCCATGTGGTCACCTCCGGGGCAGGCGGGAATCGAACTCATGCGGAATTGGCTTAAGCTTCTTAGTGCTGTGCTTTAACCCGCTGCGCCACCAGGGAGGGCTGAATAAATAAGTCTTTTAAAAAAATTTTTTTAAACATAATTTTTAAAAATCTGCTTATACTTTATGTTTTCGATGCAGCAAGAGGGTCTGTTATTTAAAGGGATTGTTGATTTTGTCTAATGAATTATTTTTTTTAGAAGACATATCATCTTGATGCCTTGATTATTGTAAAAGTTGACAGTATGTGTGGTAAAAAAGGCAGCAGGGAGGTAAGCAATTCTGACATATCTTTCTGATTACAGATTTTTCTGAATTAACATTAAATGGTAGCCTAGAAACAAGGATGTCATTCACTAACATGGTTACCTGCAGCCACGTGCATTTCAAGTGAAGAATGCTGATGGGATCCTATGTATAAGGTAGCATGTTTTTGGTTTTTTTTTTCTTTCTTTCTGTAAATATGTTGTGAGATCATATACTAAGTACCTCATGTATTAGTTTTTCAACAATACACACCAATTTGGAATTAGGACTATAGGGTAAAGATTTTTCAGATACTATTGAGCAATAAAAATTCTTAACTTCCTATTTTCTGCGGTGAGTTTAATAGGTCATTATAATCTGGAAAAACATTTTTTTCTTTTTAGTAGTAATATCTTTGCACTTTATATTTGGTAGAAAGAAGAGTTTGGTTTTAAAAACATTGATGGAAGGGGAAAATGCTGAACAAAGCTATCAGTGTTTCACTGAAAGCAAAGGTTTGTTTAAAAGTTTTTCTCCAATCCAAATGTGGGACTAAGCCCCCAATGTCAATAAACAGTTTAAAACAGTTTTCATTTTAGACAGTATTAGTCAAAAGAATTAACGGAACAGCATTTTCTAATACCTCACTGTTAACACAATTTCAGAAACATAGTGAATAAAATGGCTGGTATCATTCCTTCTGAAGGATGTTTTGTCCCTAAATAAATGGAGATCAGTTAATTTTAGCATAGTTTATAGTAAAACGGATCATTATTTTAGAAGCAGAATATCTAGTTACAGAGAAGATACATAATGTTTCTTTGAGCAGAGTGAACTGAATTTAGCCTAAGAAAGTTTATCTGAGAGAAATGTGTATTGGGGCTGTGTACTCATTTACTTAGTGTCCATCTGATGCTTAGCTGTTGCTACAGTGTGAAAGAATTGTCTCTACATGGTTGATTGTCCATCTTGTGTAGGGCAGTACTGGATGGCAGTCATTTCTATGTTGAAGTTATGTTTTTGGACAGATTTTTTTAAAAAAGATTTATTTATTTATGCATAGAAGAGCTGGGGTGTAGGCTTGGAGGTACAGGGGATGAAATGATTCATCAGACAGAGTGGGGAGCGGAACAGGTAGATGAACTGAAATGTACTGCTGAAGGGAGCAGCTGGTGAAACAGGAGAGGTCTGCTGTGCCATGTGGGTCAGTTTCCTGGCTGGGGATCGAACTTACTGTTGCTGTGACTGCTGACAGCTTCAGAGTGCTGAGACTTACCCCTTGCACCACCAGTGAGGCCCTATTTCTGGACAGATTTAAAAATGGAGAGAAGTCACATCACAAAACACTTTGTATGCTATGTTCCCTTTCTACAAAAAGAAAATAGGTGCATAATGCACTGCAGAATATTATCATCAACTTTGAGAGAACTGATTTTTATTTTATTTATGCTTTTTTTCTAATTCTTAAAACAGAATAAAGAAAAAAAGGAGAGAGAAGTGGGGGAAAAAGAATTAACAGAACCTGAAAACTGAAATCTATGTAAACCTTCAAAGCAGAAAAAAGAAAAAAAGCCCCTGACAATTTGTATGAAAGATGAAGCTACTAAATGGGTTACCTGGCTCAGCTCTGGCCCTGCAAGAGGAGTATTAGGAGAACTGCAGCGATGAGTACACAGAGGGTGCACACTGTAGGTACCACGATCTCCGTCACCATCTGCATGTGACTTAGCTGAAATGGGGGAGAATGTGGCCATCTTAGTGAATCTATAAATAGCTTCATCCTGGAAGTTTTTACGTTATTTAAGAAACTTGGAAAATGGCGCCATCACACTCTGTAATTCTCATTTGCGATAACAGAGAACCTAGTGACTTAAATGTTATAAAAAGTTATGGCAGGGCTTTGTAAAATATTTTTTTAAATGTGACAAAGAATGCCTAAATTCGGTTCTTCCATAGTATTGAAATAAAGTATGAATGCATATCAATACTTCTATTGGCCATGGATTAATCTCAAAATATTAGCAGCCATATTTTATGTTGTCGCTTTTTCTTTGGGGGGATTTATGAAAGAAATCCTTGAGAAACATTTCTAGTCTTTCAGAGATGTTATTGTATATCTTAAGAGGTGTGGAATTTCCACATTGAAATTTTTTATGGTCATTTTTACATAGGTAAATAATAATCTTTGTTATACATATTTTACATACATTAGTAGAATAGTGGATATTTGGGTTTTGTGCCAGGAATCCTGCTTATTAGCAAGATCAATAAGGCATAGCCCATGTTCTCGTGGAGCTTAATGGACTCTACAGTAAAGTCTACATTTGTTTCTATGTTTAGTTTAATAGAATATATGTTTTTAATATTGTTTGGCTATTTAGATGGCAGTGAGGGCTCAGTGGTGATTGATCTATAAAAGTAGCTTAATTGATATGGGGTTTGATCTTAAAGATTATTTTATTGAATTGAAATGTATTTTCTCCAATATCCCTTATAGAGAAATAAAGACAAACTCCAATATAAAAACAAGTGATATTTGTTGACATTTCTTGATGCATAGCTACATCTTGGTTATTTTTTTTTATCTCTGGTCCTTTAGATCCTATTGCATAAGAAGTGCTGGGGGGTGGGGGTGGGGAAGAAGAGCTCGGGGAGAACTTACTCTGTTCACTGCTACATCAACAGAGCTTAAAATGTCCCCTAGCTAATAGTGAAAGTTTAATAATTACTTGCTAAATAAGTAGAGTTTTTAGAGTGTTTGATTTTTCATTCCATTTGGTATAATGAATATTCCTTCTCTCCCTCTTCAAAGGCCAATATAAGCAAAATAATAGAATTAGAAATTAACAGTTTGATTCAAACTAGAATGGATAAAATATTTCGCTTTCATGGTATATTTTAAAAAGTATTTTTTTAAATGCTTACAGTATTTTGATATTGTTTCAAAATGAAAAAAATCATTTTTTAATCATGTGGTTTTGGAAGATTGACTTTAGGTAGCTCCATGTTTTGAGATTCTACCAGTGCCATGTAGGTATAGTTACAAGGTTTATTTATATCAAGGGGAAGAATTAAAATATACTCACCTGCAGCAAACATCTGGTTGTTGATAGAGCAGGTTTCCAAAGCTTTGAGATGCCAACTTTTCACCTTAATATAGACCAACTTGATAAGTAATAGTATCTTGGAATAATTTTTTGCTGCTTGAAATATTTTTGGAATAAATGGTTAAAGACTTTTGAATCTGCCCATGGTTTAAGGGAGTTAATGTTTATTGAACACCTATGTGCATGGTTGAGATTCAAAGGTTCAAGTCTTTATTCTTAAGAGTTTTTAATCTAGTACTTTATGTGAAACTGGCAAATGCCTGATAGTTTTTAGTTAGTAAGTAATGTTCACTTTTTAAGACACTCCGATTTACAGTTTATATCCCCTGGCATTATGCATAGCAACATAGGAAACTGGCAGAAAACTTTGTAGGTTGCTGAAAATAGTTAGATTTCAGAGAAGTAATTTTAATTTCATTTGGAATCAATGCGTTTTATGATTTTGCCATTGGTAGGGAAAAAAGTAAAAATTATACAGTCATTATACATTTGATTTACTTAGCTACTTGAAGAATAGATGTATGGAAGAATAGATAGTCCTTTGTTTGCATTGACATAGCATTTAGAATAACATTTAACTAAATGTCTAACAGAACTCCTGCATTACCCAGTTATATCCTTAATGCTCTGGGTGTTTGAATTTAGTGATAAATTGTGCTAGTCACATTCTAAGCAAATTAGCAAAGAAGTGATGTGAAGTAAGGGAAGACACAACCATGCTCCCATAAACCCCTTTCCTCTTTTACGGAAGAAAGAGGAGAGATGTTTGTCAAGCTCTGTGCACCCCAGCTGCATAGGTCTTCTAAAAATCCAGAACAAGTGAGGTCAGTGGTTGTTCCTACCTCTGTTGCATTTGGAAATCCATTGGCAGTGACAATCTTCTTGTAATACTGAACTGAAGCCTTTGGGTATCGTGGTTTATTTCTATTGTTAAATTCGACATAGTAGAATCCATATCTATCTGAGTATCCTTTCTCCCATTCAAATTTATCCAACAGAGACCAAGAAGTATAACCTTTTATATTGGCACCATCTTTTATAGCTGCAAAGATATTTTGTTTCATTTTTTCTCATGGCTTTTTTTTTTTTTTTTTAAGATTTATTTCTATATACAAGAACTGAGATACAGGCCAGAGATGTGGGGGGTGAGTGGACTCATCAGAGACAGAGTGGGGAGCAGGACAAGCACATTGACTGAAATACACTGCTGAGGGGAGCATCAGGCAGGTCCAGAGACGTCTGCTGTGCCATGTGGGTCACCTCCCTGGTTGGGAATTGAACTTATGCTGCAGTGGCCATGGACAGCCTCACAGTGCTGAACTAACCAGTTGCACCATCAGGGAAGGCCCATTTTGTTTCATTTTTAATGTATTTAATTTATTTGGAAAAAATATATTGTGATGATAATCTCAAATGTTTTCATTTATGAGACTTAGAAACAAATTTAATCAGCTGTATTTTAAAACTTTGTCTAAGTTAAATGGAAAAATATGTGACTACAATCTTGGTTTGTATCTCACCCTTTAGCATTTCATTTATGTATCCTTTGAGGTATTGAATTCTCTACTCATCACACAGTTGAGTACAGTGTAATTTTTGAGATGCTCCATTTTCTGTCACATATATGGGAGAATCACCGTATTGAGTCTGAAAGTGAATCACAGTTAACGATTATCTTGGAAATTCTGACCCAAAGGTGAGTTTCTGAGACTGAGACTTCTATAGGGACACACAGCCTACTGTCTTTTAAACTGGTATTTTTAACATTTAGTAGTGTCAATTAGCATGATTACATAAAGATAAAGTTAGTCAGGAGGCAGGTTCATATGAAATCAATATTTTAAAGGTGCTTTCCCATATATTCCATTTCAGGAAGATGTACAGCAAAGTAGTTAAGTGTGGGGTAGGAATTTTATAAATTTAGAGAACATTTTTTTTTATTGAAATAGTGTTGGTTTACAACATTGTATATAAAGAATATTAGGTTCTCACCTCTTCAAATGTAAAGAGTTTTAGCTAAAGTTACAAAGGTGGAAATGATTATTCATAATAGACATCAGTTTGTAAAATCTATATCTACTAGCCTCAACTGTGAGGCTTTGTTTTGTTTTATTAACTTCAAACTGTAGGCACGCAAACTTATGCTGTACGAACACAAACTCAGACAAAAAAAGACCTGTCAATAAGTTAATACAATAATCACCTGAGCAAAGTTGAGGAGTCTCCTAAATCCCCACTCACATAGTAAAGCCATTTAGAACCCATATCAAGCCAATTTGGGTCAGCCAGTTCTACCAAGTCACGATCATTTTGGTAGCTGGGCCCCTGGCTTGAGGGGTAATTTCTTTCTGTGATGTACCGTGTAGTAAAATGACCTAATCCCAAGAAATCAGATGTGCCTTTGATGTAGCTCTTTTCCTGGCGTGAGAATACAGGTAACCTGGACATATCCAGGCCTTGCTCTGTGCTTTTTCTTCCTAATGAGAAAGAAACAGAGTGAACAGGTTTTTCTCGTAATCATTTTGTTATGTACCATGATGGTATTAACCTGTAACATCAAGCTGTTACCCAAATCCTTGTCTTTGTGATTCATCTGCATGGAAATTGCAACTTTTACCTTTCAAACTAGAATTTTGACATTTGAATATTATCCCCCCAAATTCAAATTTGTATTGATTAAAAAATAACTCTTTGACAACTCATTAAGTAGGCTACTATGTACCTCCTTGGAAAAAAGTACAGTTGGTCTCCTATATTATTCCTTATACTAAGATTGATCATTTTGGTTGTCTGTGGGAAAGGAAGCAGAGACAGTGGTGGTAGAGGAGAGACATGGACACTTTTACTCATGTCATAATGTAAACTGGTTACTTCTGTCCTAACTTTAAAAATTGTACAGGTCCTGGGCCCTCTCTAGTGGTGCAACAGGTTAGGTTGCAGCACTGCAAGCTGGCTGCAATAGCTTCAGCGCAAGTTCGATCCCCAACCCCAGAGGTGACCCACATGGCACGGCAGACCTCTCCTGACTGCCTGCTGCTCCCCTCAGCAGTGTACTTCATCAATCTGCCTGTTCTCCTCCCCACTCTGTCTCTGGTGAATCCTCTCACTGCCCCTGCACCTCTGGCTTGTACCCCAATTTTGTATGCATAAATATTTTTTAAAAACCACCCTCTACAAATGATATTAAAAAAATTGTACAAGTCCTTTCTTTGGCCAATGTTAAATCTGTCTATTGTTTCATACTTGTAAAAGGATTTATGTACAAGAATTGTCATCTAGACTAAGTAGCAAAAGGTTGAAAACAACCTAGATGTCTATAAATAGATACCTATTCGTACAACACTCCACAGTCAGTAGAACAAACCAGCTAGCACTTTATATACCAACATGGAAAGAACGCCAAGCTACATGTGTAAGTGAAAGCAAAGATGCAGAGAGTTTTTATTTCCTTCTGGGGAGAATGGTATAATCAGGGAGAGAAAAGACTTCACTTTCTCCTTTTAAAAATTTCAGATATGTCCTTGTATAATTCATGCAAAAAAACCCAAAAAAATTTTAAGTAAATGAACATTTTGTGAGTCAGGTTAAAATAGAATCATGAAATACATCCTCAGAGGACACTGGTTTAGATGAACCGAGATCCAGAGATGAAACATCTTACCCAGAAGTACTCACTAGTTAGCAGTAGACCTGGAATTGTTGCTTCCTGTTCCAGATAAGTATGATTAAAATAATGCTTTTAAAAAGGGAAAAATTTATTATTATTATTACAAAAGTTTATTTTTTACATCATTTTGTACATTTTTTTTTTCATCTCGATTGTAATCCCCGTGGGTTTCCCATCACCAAATCACCCCTGTGCCACCACCATAGTCCCGTGCATTTCCCTCCCTTCCCCCTCCCCC